AGCCCCATCTGTGTCTGGCTCTGAGGTGCTGCTAAAACAGGGAGCCAGGCTCAGGGGGGCAGGCAGCCAGCCAGGCGTCAGCACGCTATTTACAGCCGGGAGGGCCCGGCCCGAAACCCGAGGAGTCTGTTTATACCACGCGGCCAGTCCAGGATCAAGTGTGCGGCTCAGTCAAATGACAGAAGCTTAAGTGAGAGTGACCACTGCCCTCTCGGGGCCTGCAGGGGCTGCACACCGAGCAGCCGTCACTCCATCGGCCGCGAGCAAAACAGACACCCGAGTCAGCGGCGGGTGTCCCCACCACCCAAAATAAACACCCCACCAAAGGCTTAGACTCAGGCCGGGTGGGGAAGAGCCTCGTGGTCAGAGTTGGTGAGAGGGGCATATGGCGTTGGCGGTCATTTTGGAGTGTAGCGCAGTTTGGTCCGCAGACCCCACCCCAGAGCCCCTGGCACGTCCCTCCCAATTAAGGGCAGAACGTCAAGGGGCCGTCACAGTGCGAGTCTGCGCTGGGTGAACCTCGGCCTCCCTGCTTTTACTCGATGGCATGTACTTCTGGAGAGATGTAGTAGATAATTGGGACCGGAGAGAAAATTCTGGCTTGGCACTAGAAACCCCTTCTGCAAGATAATACATCAAAGCATTTGTGGCTTTTCAATGTGGGGGGGGGGGGAGTTGGAAACATTATTATCATTAAGTCTGTCTTTTCCCTTTGAATCTTCACAGTAAGCATACATTTTGTAAGCAGAGAAAAGCAACATGAATACGCATGTGAAGAAGTGTGCTGGGCCCTTCTCAGAGGCTGACAGTGTCCCCTCAAGGGACAGAACCATCAACGCTGGCAGCTTGGGAGTCACTAACCAGAAGCAGCAAATATAAGCATATATTCTAAAACCACACTCACTGCCATCGAGGTGATGCCGACTCATAGCAACCTCCCTCCTCCCTGGGGATTTCTGAGACTGGAACTGTGGATGGGAGTAGAAAGCCCAGTCTTTCTCCCATGGAGTGACGGGTGGTTTCGAACTGCTGACCATGCAGATCACAGCCCAACAAGTAACCAGATGCATATGCACATATATATGTACGTGTGTCTATATATACCAATATATACACACATATATATAATCAATAATTTCGCTAAGAGCCTCTCCTATTGTTGAAGGAAGCCGGGCTGGTACAGTAGCTTTCAGTAACGGGCTCTTGTTTCTCAGCTTGACTTCCAAAGCCAATGTTCTTGTCTTTCAGGTTTTCCGAAGGTGAGACATGGCTGCCTTCAATTCCACTGGCCATAATCAGCCAGCAGAAAGACCTGCATCGGTGAGAAGGATGTGGCCATCCAGCCACTAACCATGCAGGGGCAAGACGGCAGTGGGCTTTGTCCTTGATCCCAGACACCCTGGGGAAAGCTCATGTGACCAGCAGGACGTCACAGAGCTGACATCAGATCTGAAGAAAAGGCCTTTCTAGGTCTGAGTTAATCCTGGGAGACGCTGCCAAGAGACAGCCGAATTCAGGGTCTGGATCTCACTGGACTTTTCCTCGTGATCCCTGGTCAGCTGAGGCCCGAGAAGTCCCTGGCACCTTCCCGGCAGCCTTCAGCGGTCGCTGCTGTTGAGCCCACTCTGACTTATGGTGACCCTGGTGGTGCACATGGTCAGCACCCTCAGCTGCTAATCAAATGGCTAGAAGTTTGAGTCCAGCAAGAGGAATCTCAGAAGAAAGGCCCAGCCATGTTCTTAGAGACGGCAGCCTTCGACAACCCTGTGCTTCACTGCTATCCTCGGGCACACAGGGGGTCAACGCCTGAGATTCTCTGCAGCAGCTTGTGCATAAGGGGAGGAGAAGGCGACTTATCTACAGAGAAGGATCCAGTGACACGAAGGCTTAAGAGACACCCAGAGAGGGCAGATGGCCCGGTGGTGAAAGGTGAGGATCCTAAAGCCAACCCAAATCAACCCATTGCCATCTAATCGATCCTAGCTCCTTGTGACCACCGGACAAAGTAGAACTGGCCCCTGTGGGTTTCCGAGACTGCAATCTTTACAGACATTGACGACCACACCTTTCTCTCATGAGGCAGCTGGAGGGTTTAAACTACCCACATTTGGGTTCACAGTCAAATGTTCTAACCACTGTGCCACCAAGTCTCCTTAAAGTCAGGCTGTATGGGTTCAAATCCCAATGGTCCTGCTTACCAGTTCTGAATCCTTAGGCAAGGATTCTCTCTCTCTGACGCAATTGCCTCAACTATCAAATTAGGATCACCATAATATCTACCTCATGGGGTTTGTTTGAAGATTAGAAGTGTTAGGACATGCAAACATGCTTAGAACAGTGATGTCCTCAGTAGTACACCTGGAATATATATCTCATCTATTCCCTTATTATGGTTTCTTTTAATCCAGACGGTTGGAGATCCCCCTGGGATTTGCTCAGGGACACATAACTAGTAAGGAATCAAGATAGAACTCAAATCCAAGACTTGCGTCTCCCAATTCTACTGCGTTGCCAACTTTCCAATGCTGCCTCCCACCGAGTTGAGAAGCTATACATCTTGACCCGAGATGGCAGATAACCAGGCACTTCTTAAGACTCCATGGCTTGGGATAGGAGAGATTAAAAGAAGGTGCCTTGCTCAATAGGATTATTGTCCCTGATGTAGTGGAGAGCTCACAAATCATTGTCACACGCGTCTCTTATTCGATCCTCCCGTGCCTCCTCCCTACCCTTCAGCACTGACCAATGAGCCAAACGGCCTGTGGGACTGTTCTCAGGAGGGTCCAAGATTTGTGACACACTCAGAATGATAAACTGCACTAGCCGGGGAGAACCCAGCCACGTCCCTTCAAAATGCATGATTACGGATGTTCTTGTCCTCACGTGAGAAATGGCTTGTCTGGGGCCACACAGCTGGTGGCCTCGAGGCCACACACATAGGAAAGGGTCTTGTCCACAAGGGTTGTGGGTGAAGGGTGGGGACGAGGTACAGCACAGACCACAGAGTTGTCCTGCCCGTCGCTCTTAATAAAGGGATCCGGCCTCAGAATGGAGTCAACACACCTGCCGCCCCAACTGGTCCTATCTTGTGACAGTCACCTCAGTGTCCAGGGTGGGGTCTCAGAGCTGAACAGCAGGCACAGAGGTGCCACCATGGCCCCTGGGGCGTGGAAGGTGCTGGAAGTGCCAGGGCCCCCAGCAAGGCACAGGCTTCACTTGCTCATCAGCATCCACGCACAAAGACAAAATGACCAGGGCTGGCCGAACACAGCTGCCAATGGCTTGGATGTGGCTCTGAGAGAGAGAGTGGGCAGAGGGCAGCAACAAGATTCTTTTCCACAGGCCCCTGGGTCTCTGTGACAGCATTGCACCCAGGAACCATCACACATTAACGGATGCGAACACACAGAATTCTCAGCCCCAGAAGCCTCAGGCACGTCTCCTGAGAAACCTCCCCGCCCAGTCCCCCACCAGGCTCTCACATCGGCATGGCACGTGGCATCTCGCTCTTCTGAGGTTTTGCAAGAATGTCCCACACGTGAGGGGATGCAGGTGGAGGAGGCCTGCTCTGAGCTAGCGCTCCTGGCAGGAGGAGAGAGAAGGGGCCGCGGAGGCTCACAGCATGACTTTGAAAAGCGCAGACACAAACAAGCGCCCTCTAGCAGCACTCAGCCAGAGGCGTTCTGTGAATAGCAGGCCCAGCCTCTTCCCTGGGCATCTGGGAAGGGGGAAAGGAGCAGGCTGACCAGCGGAGGGAAGGAGACAGTGGTTGAACCCAAAGAAGAAAAGGGGAGGATGATACTTTCAGAGCTCTGGGGGACAAAAAAGCACATGGGCTGCAAACTGCAAGGTCGGCAGTTCAAGCCCACCGACCGCACCAGGGAAGAGCAAAGAGGCTGTCTGCTCCTGTAAAGATTGGCAGTCTCTGAATCCCTAAGGAGCTGTTTTCACTCTGCCTCACAGGGTCGCTATGCGCCAGAATCTACTCGATGGCATTAGGTACAGAGAGAAGAAAGCCAGCATCACAAAGTGCACCATATGCCAGCGACGATTCCCCCACGAGGCCAGCAAAATACTAGTACTACAGTACTACCTGCTCCTTAATTTAAACATGCTTTCTCTTTCTGATTCAAGTTGCAGGGTTACCCTCGCCTGGAAAACAGTTCACTTCAAGAAAATGGCAGAAAGTCTTTTTTTTTTTTTTTTTTTTTCAAAAAAAGCTCAAATGTCTTTTTTCATTTCTTTCCTTAAATCAGGGTCAAGTGCTAGAAAATCTTTTTTTTTTTTTTAATTTGTGCGCCCTAAAAAAACCTGTGTGTTTTCCTACTCCCTAGACGGAATGAAGGCACCTTGGTGGCATGGTGGGTTATGCACTGGACTGCTAGCCGAAGGTCAGCAGTTCGAACCACCAGCCACTCCTCCGGAGCACGATGAGCCATTCTGCTCCTGTCAAGATGGACAGCCTCTGCCATGCCCAGGGACATCTCTGCTCCGTCCCACAGGGTCGCGATGGGGGCTCGTACAACTCTTAGCACAATCTATCCATCCACCCATTGTGTCAAGCACATTTGTACATTTGTTGTCATCATCATTCTCAAAACATTTGCTTTCTACTGGAGCCCTTCATATCAACTCCTCATTTTTCCCCTCCCTCCCTGCCCTCTCTCATGAACCCTTGATAATGTATAAATTATTATTTTGTCATAGCTTACACTGTCTGACATCTCCGTTCGCCCACTTTTCTGTTGTCTGTCCCCCAGGGAGGGGGCTATACATAGATCCTTGTGATCGGTTCCCCCTTTCTACCCCACCCTCCTGGTATCACTAGTGAGTTTGGGATTTCTGAGGCTGAATGAAATACCCTCTCTTCAGGGAACTGTTTTCCTGAGCTCCACAAAACCACACCAACGTGTGCTCTCCCAGCTTTGTCTGCAGGGAACAATGCATCAGCCAGGCCTGGCAGGTGACAATGGCAAAAGAGAAGATGCTTCTGTACTCACATTTGTCACCGGGGAAGCTGAGGGAAATGATCTTGCTGGAATGGCCACGTATGCTCCAAGATTTGAGGTATAGTCTAAACGACAAATGACGCAAGCCAGGTAAACATCTGCTGCATCTACCGAGCCTTCTCAGACCTTATGCCAGCGGCCGTGTAAGGCCCTCGGGGTCGTCCGTACTGGCTACATCACCCGCCTCACTAAAGAAAAGCCGTCCCAGCCCTCCCATTAGGGCTCAATTAATTCAATGTCTGAGCACACAGAGCAGCCTCGTATTGACGTGGATCGTGTCATGGTGGCCTGCCCATTCCCCACTCCGGCCTTCTTGGGACATAAGCAGCAGAGGGAAATGAATGTTTCCTCTTCAGGGTGACCAGTGACATCATGTCTCTGTCATGTTAACAGTCGGCTAAGCTTGCTGTCTGAAGTATCTCAGAAAATACCCCCAGGCCCCGACAGCAGGTCCAATACATTTTGTGGCTTGGATTCTGTTTGCTTTGTAACACGATCGGAGGGGCATGATCGTGAAGGCCTGTGGTTGGACTCTTCAGAGCGTGCCTCGGGGACACTGCTATGTGCCGCGCTCACTCACCTTCGTTCCCGGCAGGGCTGTACACGGCCGTGCTGTTGGGTGAGGCACACACGGCTCCCTCGGCCGAGCTGAGCACACAGCGGACGCCAGCGCTGGAGCAAGGTGGGAGGGGGAAACAGTGCACAATCAATGGAACAGCTTTACGGATGACTCACTCCCAGACTTCTCCCCAAGAGCTGAAAGTGGGTGTCCGACCGAACACAGGCTTATACCCAAACGTCCACAGATGCACATGTCACAACAGCCGAAAGATGTGAACCCAGGGTCTGGAGCACAGGGCCTGGCCTGCTTTGTTTTCTGCTGCAGCCTTAACAGGTGCTCGGTGGTTATCTGTGAGCCTGTTCTCGAGAACACTTACCTTTCAGAGAAGACCAGGCATTTCTGGGCGTGCAGTTTCCCTTTCATGTGGAGCTCCCAGTCCTTGGCCCCAAGAAAAGAAAAATGGCAGAGAGATCCGTGTTGGCAGGAAGGAGGAGGTGAGGGGTGAGTGCAGGGGGCTCGAAGGGCCCAGGGCCAACCTGCTCAACAACCCCCATCCCTTCCTCCTTCACACCGAGGCTCCAACCCTGCTCCCATTTGCACCCCACCCAAACACACACCCATTTCAGCCAGAACCCCAGACTCACTCGTCTATCCTCTCCTCCTCTCCCAGTCCCACCTGCACAAACCCAACCCTTCCTCTCTCAACTAGCCCCCGGGGAAAGCACACCCATTTCTCCATGAAGCTGGGCTCACAGAACAAGTGAGACGAATCTGTTCCCCATGGCAGCTAGAGACTGGGGCAAAAGGACTGCCCTTTGATGAGGGGACCCAAGCTGAGGTTCATGGCCTGCTGCGGTGTGACGGCCTCCACAAAGCACGGACGTATATGCTTTCCAAACTGGGTGAGGGCTGGGGGCAGTGCAGCCCAGGGTGTTGGAGGCAGCTCTGGGAGGGGTCCAGCCCAAGTTTGAATCTCCTGTCCGGCACCTTCTGGCTAGAGGGCCCTGGGCAAGTCATCTCTAGGGCCCAGCTTCCTTGTCTATGTCTCTGAAATAATGATAATAGTAATGTCTGTCTTGTAGAGTTATCGATGGCACACAGAGAGGGGTTGGGACACATCAGCTGCCACTCTTACACTTATGATTACTTTCGAATACTTCTCTGCGTCATATTTACGAGGGGGTATCCAAAAATACCAGAATTTTTTCCAAAGTGATGTATGTAAATTTTTGTGTGTGTGTGTCGGTGAGTGAGAGTGTGAGAGTCCGTGAGTGAGAGTAAGAGTAATTGAGTGAGAGAGAGTGAGTGAGTGAGTGAGACAGTGAGTCAGTGAGCGAGAGTGAGTCAGTGAGTGAAAGTGAGAGTGAGTCAGTGAGTGAGTAAGAGAGTGAGAGTGAGTGAGTGAGATAGTGAGTGAAAGTGAGAGAGTGAGTGAGTAAGAGTGAGTCAGTGAATGAAAGTAAGAGAGAGAGTGAGTAAGCGTCGTATATAAATTTTTTTAACCAAATAACCTATCACCTTCAAAGTACTCTCCACTGCACTGAATACATTGGTCAAATCTGTGATTCCATTCTTGGAAACATTGTTCACACTCATCTGTTTGGATAGCTGACAGCACCTCCCTCGTTTTTTTCTTCGCCTCTTCTACATCATTAAATCGCTGTCCTTTTGTGTCCCTCTTCATTCGAGGAAACAAAAAGAAGTTGCACAAAGCTAGGTCAGGTGCATGGGCCAAGAGGCATGTTGTTTTTTGCCCCAAACTGGAGCACTGAGATGGCTGCGTGAGCAGGTGCATTGCCATGGTGGCAAAACCAGTCCCCTGTCTGGCACAAATCACACCTTTTTTTGTCGCACACTGTTACACAATCTTTTCAGAACCTCTAAATAGAAAGCCTGATTAACAGTCTGACCTGGTGGAACGAACTCCAAATGCACTACCCCGCTCACATCAAAAAAACAAATGAACATCATTTGGGGGGATACCCCCCTCATATGTTTATTAGGGGGAAAATGTATTATACTGGGCTTTTGTTTGCAGGGGTTCAAAGCATTTTACAACTGCTGGGAAGGTCTCAAAGAGAACCCTATCAGACAGAGTAGAATTCTCCCTATGGGTCTCTGAGACTAAATCTTTAGGGGAGTAGAAAGCCTCATCTATGAGTCAGCTCGACTCCATGGCAGGAGTTTGGGTTTGGTTTTTTGAGTTACTGCAGGCTAACTCACGAAGCGCTATCTCCATTTCTGAGTTGTCGAACTCCTCCAGTCCCCACTTAGCTTCAGCTTTCTCCTCTACAAAGTGTGAGTGATGGTCTCTTACTAGAGGGAGGCACGAGCCCCGCCTGGTTTCTGAAATTCCCTTTGATTGTAATAACCAGATGCCGTAGCATCGATGCGGGACACCTGGTGGTGTTATGTGATGAGTTGCCACCTGCGAAGTTAGCTGTTCAAACCCACCCGCTACTCTGCAGAAGGAAGATGTGTTACACCCTCAGAAACAGCCTTTTGGGTCGAGTCATTGGTACTCAAGGCAACAGAGGTGTGTCAGAGTAGGATACCCCGAGGGTTTGTAATGGCTGACTTTTAGAAGTAGATCACCAGATCTTTCTTCTGGGGCACCTCTGGGTAGACTTGACCTGCCAACCTTTCAACTAGCGGTCCGGTGCATTAACTATCTGGACCACCCACGAACTGCTTGGTTATAGAATATCAATGTCTTAGCCAAGGATCCAGATGGCAAAATGCTGGTACCCTATCCCCAAATGTCGCAGCCCTTTTCTGGATGCAGCGAGCGAGGGGCTCGTGGCAACCTGGTAGGTTCCTGCCGTAACTCCCAGCCTGCCTTGGACTCACCTTCAGATCAAACACCTTCTTGTCACAGATGCTGCAGGTGTGTGGCAGGTGGAGTGGAGGCATGCCGTGGAAGTCATTCAGTTCCTGAGCCTGCAGGGGCCGCACAGGTAGAACTGCCTGCTCCTCCTTGGCCCGCCGCCTGGTACCGCCCAAACCTGGCTTGTTGTTGGTCAGCCGGCCGCCAAACGAAGGTGGGGTCCTGTCTGGGGTGGGCTCCTCGGGGTCGTACATCTCATAAGGCTGGCTGAGGGGTGGGGGCCACAGGCTGGGGCCTGCTGTGAGGTCCAGCTTGTTCTGGCCACAGAATCCGTGGGGGCTCTCCCATGGGCTGTTTGTGCCCTGCAGCAGTGGGCCCACCTCACCTTTCATGCTCCCAGCCTGCTCAGCCGGAAACCCACTGGCCAGATGTGAGCCATGGGCACTGGGTCCATAGAGGTCTTTAGGCAATGCAGGTTGGCCATCTGGCCCTGTGTGGCCATGGTGGCCTTCGTAGTTCACGCTGCCCGCAGCAGAGGCCGTGCCTGGCAGAAAGCTGTCTGTTTCAGAGCCATATGCCTGGCCAGGGTTGGCTTTGCCATACTCATAGAAACCTGCCGTCGTAGCAGTGGGCCCAGACTTGCCAATCCCCAGGAGGACACCTGGCTGGACGGCGGTCTGTGGCATGACCCCGCTGAAAGGATGTATCACCACAGTACTGGGGGGCTGACTGGGAAGGCTCCCAGCAGGGGCTGGGCCTCGGGGCTGACCGGAGGATGGGAAGGCAATTGCATTGGAGGGAAACCTGGCGGTGGGCAGGGCGGCAGCATGCTGGGACACCCCAGGATGGCTGTGGGGAGCACTGATGACCGATGGATGCCTGAGCTGGTTGAACAGGGGCTGGGACATGGCCACTTTGGAGAGCACTTGGTTCAGGACCGTGGCGGCGGCAGTGTTGTTGGTGACAGCTGTCTGCGCCAACTTCAGCCGGTGGAGGGTGAGCTGGGCTTGCAATTGAGCCAGTTGGAGGCTGGCAGGTGATGGGAGCAGAGGGTTAGGGTTGCTGGCGGAGAACGGGTTCTTGTCCAGGAGCTTGGCGGCACTGCGGGGAGACAAACGTCTAGATGCACAGCTGGTTCCCATCCAGCCAGACAAGGGGCCTCTTTCCACATCAACAAGACCCTCCCACTCCAGGCAAGTGTGTCTGCAAAAGCCTGCGCTCATATGTGCGCCCGGCAGTTTGAAAAAGTCTTACATGGTGCATATTGAATCCACCTGATAATCAAAGAAATGCCATCTAAACCACGAGAAACCTAGCCAAGATTAAAATAATAATATTAATAATTATAATAGCAGCACTTTGCTGGTGAAGTGGAAAGAACACAATATCCATGAGAGTCTAAATCCCCCCAGCTTGGTGGGATGCACTCACCATATTCCTTTGACCCGACAATCTAATTCTGTAACTCTATCCCAAGCAAGGAACTAAAATGCAGACAAAGCTTAGCACCCAAAGACTTTTAATGCTACAGTATTTCAGCGCTCAAAGTTGAAAATCACGAGTATCCAGTAAAAATCCTGTAAACTGAATACATTATGACATATTTACACGGTGAGCTATTAACTAACCATTTTTATTGTTATTTACATTTTAATTTATTATGCAATATGTAAGGCTTTCACAAATATATTGTGGTAGTTACATAATCTGGTGTCAATTTGAGAGAATTATGAGTAAAGGGGTGGAGTCTGGCCTGTCAATCAATATATAACCAATGAGGCCTCTGTGTGGCCATGGCCTTCTCCTGAGAATTCTGGGAACTCCTGGTTTTTCGTCCTTGGAGGCGGGAGACACCTCGTCCCTTTGGCTCACTCCCTGAGAGATTACTGACAAGACACATGGCGCTACGCCCCGGGAGCTGGAGAAGCCACATGGACCTACGCTGATGCAACCAGACCTCTGGAGCCAGAGAAGCCACGGAGAGACCCCTCCCAGTGCTGAGAAGTTTACAAAGCCATTGGATTCACAAGACTACCAACCCACTGGCCTGTGATCCTCCTGCATTCAGCATCATTGCATGTATTTTGTGAGTCTGAAGAGGACTCTATAGATTGGTATCAGACACGTGGGCTACTATTGGACTTACAGGACTTGATCTGGGCTGGGCTGGGATGTTTTCTCAATATTCAATTGCTCTTATATATTAACCTCTTTTTCATACACATGAGTCTCTATGAAATGTTTCTCTAGTCTACCCGGACTAAAACATATAACAAGGGTCACAACATGAATCTTCATGTACCGAACACTAAACTGCAGAGAGAAAACATTCCACTGCCCTCAACCCACCTTGGTACCTGATTCCCTGGCCGTGCCAATGGTACACTATCGTGAATGGGGTGAAGTCGGCTTTTACAAAAATAATTCTTCACAACATGAGAAAAATCTCTAAGCACTGGTGGTACGTGAAAACACAAAACAAGGCCCAGGCTTTGAAACTGCATGTAGTGGCTTGTATACAGTGTCAACCACATTTTCATCCTGGTCCCCATTTCACATCCCAAAGCAGCAAGAATTATATTCCCCTCTTTCCGGCTTTCAAAGCCAACTAGTGTTAAAACAAAAAAACACGCCAAACCAAATTCCCCGCCATCAAGCCAATTCCGACTCAGAGGAACCTGGAGGGCAGCCTAGAACTGCCCGGGTGAGTTTCCAAGGCGGTAACTCTTTACAGGAATAGAAACCCCGTCTCTTTCCTGTAGAGCAGTTGGAAGGTTTCAAACTGCTGACCTAGGGGATGTCAGCCCAACCAGCAGCCCCTATGCCACTAGAGCTAGTGTGCAGGGTAGCTAAAAATACAAGGCGTGGAGCATCTGAATTTGAGGTGGAAGACAGCGGTGGGCTCCCCCAGAACCTGCTTAGAGGTGTTCCGTCCGATGCTGCCTTTCATGTGATCTCGGTTGGCTGGCTATGGTGTTTTCTGGACCAATCACCAGGACTAAAAGGGTCTAAAAAGGGGCTCGCTTTCCCAGGAAGCCTGAGCTACATGTTTACCACACTCAAGGCTTTTTTGGGGGTACTTTATTTTCTGGGTCTTCCACCCCTTCCAGGGAGTGGGTGTGAACAGAAAACGTGAATTGGACATTGCCGAACTGTAATGCCTTGGCTTTTTGATGGGAGGAAGGGACTTAACATATGAAACTGGTACAGTCAACCTGATTCTCTGTGGAATGTGGGGGGGGAGTGCAAATCAGACAGGTTCTCCACCGTCCCCAACAGTGACTGCCCAGGGTCGTGAAACACTGGAAAAGAGAAGGGGCGGGGGGGAGAGAAAGGGAGACACGCATGGGAAGCATGTGACACGTCACAACTCTCCCACTTGGGAGGAGCTGAGAGGAGCAAGAACTTCTGCTCAGGTTGATCCTACAGGTTGGTCTGAGCAGCAGAGGGAGGTGGTGGGCTGGGAGGTGACTAGCAGAGAGAGGGCTCGCACTGATCGCTACTGACGACGTGTGCAATGATTAAACTTATCTCATTTCACCTCTCCGCCAGTGCTGTGGGGTAGATCATTTCACCCCAATTCTGGCAGGACAAGAACCTCGAGGTGAACAGGCTGTCCCCTCAGTGCCACCAGCTTCAGTGAGCTGTTTATGAGCACTCACTGCTGCTGAGGACAGACTCGGAACCCACGCTGCACTTGGAAGGGCATGAGCACAAGGCAGGTAAACGACCCACACCGCTCCCTCCAGCCCCTTTCCACAGGCGGATCGCGGTCTTGTTTAAAGTGAGTTCCCAGAACGTCGGGCACGCCCGTGTGCAAATACAGAGGACAAAGCACATGTCAGAGGCAGACAGAAATGACTGTGGGTTGCTCTTCCCCATCATGCCTCCCTCCACACGGCCAGCAGCCCTGCTGTGTGCACTCCCAGGGCAGCCAGGACAGGCTGCGTTGTCAGGTACTGGGAGTGGGGATGGGCAGGTGAGGATGGTCCGGGGGGTTATGGATGCTTTCTGCTTTGGGAAGTTGGAGGCAGGCCTTGGTGACTCCAGCGCGGTCCAGGCACCCACCAAGCAGCCGCAGACTGGGAAGGCGCTAACTGTCTACACTTGGACGAAAATATGGAAAGAGGAGGAGGGTGGTCAAGAGTCTGATGATGGATTCCGACTGGTGCAGTGTTAAGTAGCTGAGCTTCAGAACGGCAATTAGCTTAACTCAAAACCCTGCCACCCGGGGCCAACCCTCCTACCAGGTTTGCCCACAACACAGCGTCCTTGCTAACAAGGTGATAATGAGGTGCCAACTTGGTTTCCATGACCATAGTAAGACAAGGATGGTTTTGTTTGCCCCAGGGAAGTCAGCTGTATTTTCTAAAACCATATTCTGGACTGGAGGGAATTCTGGTTGGAGAGTTCCTTGCTTCTAAAGGGACACGTAAACCTTTCTAACCAGGAAGTCAACCATTCTGGGGATTATATATATATGATTATATTTACAAAATCATTCTATTGGGGGCTCGTGCAACTCTTATCACCATCCATACATACATCCATTGGGTCAAGCACATTTGTACACTTGTTGCCATCATCAGTCTCAAAATATTTGCTTTCAACTTGAGCCCTTGGTATCAGCTCCTCATTTTTTCCCAGACTGTCTTTCTAACATCTGCTATGCCTAGCGAATTCTCCTGGTCTTAACTTTCATCAGCCTTTGCATCTAACAAGTGGCTTAACTCGAATCATCAGATCATCAGACCTGAACAATTCTTTTGAACCAAGGACCTTTAATAAAGCGGAAAAACACACACACCACCACCACCACCACCACTCCATCCAAAAAAACCCAGAAAATTTCTCTTTGTATTTTAATATTTTTACAAAACAGTCTTATCACCTTCAAAGTACTCGCCATTATACTTAAAACACTGATCAAATCTGCAATTCCATCCTTGGAAACATTTTTCAAACTCATCTGTTTGCATGGCTGACAGCACCTCCCTCGGTTTTGTTTGGGTTTTTTTGCACTTCTTCTACATCCTCAAGTTACTGTCCTTTCATGTCTCTCTGTATTCCCAGAAACAAAAAGAAGTCACAAGGAGTGAGGTCAGGTGAGTAAGGAGTGTGGGCAAGAGAGGCATGCTGTTTTTTGCCCAAAACTGGTGCACTGAGATGGCTGCGTGAGCAGGTGCATTGTTGTGGTGACAAAACCAGTCCCTCATCTGCCACAAATCAGGCCTTTTTTGTTGCACAGTTACGCAATCTTTTTAGAACCTCTAAGCTGAAAGTTGATTAACAGTCTGACCTGGTGGAACAAACTCCAAATGCACTACGAGTACACATTTTCGTCCATTCAGGAAGTTGATGGACGTCCAGAACGAGGTTTGTCATCAATCGACATTTCCATTTTTTTGAAATGAGAAAACCACTCCTACACTTGCGCACTCAACATCACAAGTTTCTGCGGCATTTTTCCTGAGCAGAACACAAAATTTCATAGCCCCACGCTGTTCTCTGAAATTGGCCATCACAAAAAATGAGGTTTGAGAGAAACTGCTTTTACAAAAAATTCACTATGACCAGAGAGAACCTTCCCAGATGACGCTACTGGGTGCACTAACTCAGAGCGAGTTTCTGGATGCTTGCCTAGTGGGAAAATTGTGTACTAGGCAAGCTCTGCCCAGCATAACTTGTGGTTTTTTTTGGGGGGTACCCCCTCCTTTATGGTGAATATTCAGTGATCACATTTCTTTCTGAGCCCTAATTGGGGCTTATGATATGAAAATCTGACACCGCTGAGGGCTAGACCTGCTGTTGTCTTCTGTCTGCCCACTTACCTTGGCTTGTCACCAGGCACTTACCACATCCTGCCTGGTGCTACAAATACTTGCTTACGCATCTTTCTCCTCCACTTAGACATAAGCTGGGGGGGTGGGGGTGGTGGCAGAGGGTGTCGTGGGCATTTTTACAATTGCCCAACCTGCTGTGGACACTTAGTAACTACCACAGACAGAGTCTTCTGTCTTTGAGGAGTGCACAGTTCTTTGATGGGTACGTGCTGCTGTGGTTAGAGGCTCTCACACAGTTCCAAATGAAGGCTCTCAGTG